GTGTATATATATATATATATATATATATATATATGTATATATATAGAGAGAGAGAGAGATCAAGGTGCCTTTCCATTCACCAAAATGTTACTTCAACATCTATTTGCAACTTAGCTTACTGAACTTCCCTGAGGTCCTGGTTAATTGCAGCAACATTAATTTCTAAGGAATAAGGTGTCTCTTTTACAATACTGCTCTCTCCCTTAGAATATCCAGCTCAAAAATGCCCAAGTAGCATAATTTGTTTGCTCTCCTATACAGCTATGTAAATTTACAGTTTTGTTTTATAAGAGAACCTAAAAGCATTAATCATAGAAAGAATGTTTATCTGTTATTCTTAATTTGTAGATGAATGAATGGGGATAGGAAGTGAAGCTACAAATCACCATTTCTTGATATTTTTTCTCTTTTTATTCTTTATCATTTTCAATTGTTAACTGTAATATTTTTTTTCCTTGTGTGTATGAGTTATGAAGTTCTTTGTCCATCTACTTGTGGATGCAAAACTATTGTATTTTTGTAATTGTTATTCCCTTTATATTTTTGATAAATAGAAACCTCATGAAATAATATTTACTAGTGGTCATCTGATCTTATCGTGTCTGCAAAATGACCAAACAGGATGGCATAGGAGAGGCTCTGAGAATTCTCAAGGAAGAAAAGATATGTATACCAAGACCTGAAGACTGAAAATTCTCTCTTTAGAAGAGGTGTGTTTTAGTCATGTTTTGGTTTTATGTAAATTATATATTATAATATAAATATTTGGTGGGTTATTTGCAGTAAGTTCTATAAAGAAATGGTTCAATTTTTTTTAGGACATAACTACCCGCATATTGTATTGGAAATGATATATCTAAAAGGTTGTGTACATCGGTTGCTAATATTGGCCAACATTTGCCTTCCCACACCTTATATTGGAAATTATTTTTTCAAAAGTTATTTTCGCCATTACATAAAGTCATCGTCACTAAGAATATATTGACGGGGAGTTTATTGTTTGATTCATCGAAATGTTTTTTTATCATTATTTATTGGCAATTTAAACTGTCCTTGTCATTTATATTCTTGGTGAGTTTAATTATTAGCGTAGCTCTAATATATTTGTTTCATATCATAATTTCTATTTTCTATTCAAAATATTCAAAGTTGGAACACGACGGTTCTACATGTTACCTGTCATTTATATTGTTGGGGAGTTTAATGTTCAATTCATTGAAATCATCATCATCAAAAAAAATTTCTAACTAATTATAGTCGGCTACACGAATGTAAGTTCGTCGTTCTATTCTATTAAGGGTTATACACAGTGAGGTCATAAGTCCTCCAGTACTTCCATTTGTCTTTTGAGCCAAATCTTTGTTATTTTTTAGTCTTCCACTTAAACAATCTATATCTGTTGATATTTGCACGTCCTCCAAGCAAAAAAGTTTGATTTTTTTATGTTAAAATATACCCATTTTTACTTGCATTTAACACCATGTGCCTGTCTGGCATAAAAACTTGTTGGGCCAGCTTATATTCAAGATGTGCTAGTGTGGTCCAACACAAAATGTGTCAAATTAGCTTTTGATAATAAAATTCTGCTTGGCACAAAATGTATCGGACCATCTTATATTGAAGTTGTCAGTTTAACACAAAATGTGTCAAATTCACTTCTATATTCAAATTGTGTCGGTCCAATACATATTAACTTTTGTGTTAGACCAATATGGCATAAAACGCGTAACAAGCCAACCGTTAGATTGTTGAGACATATAATTATTGCCGTTAGCATTAGAGCCTCTTTTTAATTATTTGAGGTCGGTTATTTAGGATTCATAGACATTTGACAAAATTTTACAGTTGCCTACCTACCTATCGCCGCCTACTTTTAATCGGACTGGGACATCTATCGAAACATATAAAAAGTTATGGCTACATCCGGTGAAGGCAAGTGAAAAAAGGCGTGCAAAAGACAGGAAAAGTGTAAAGAGAAATCATATAAGAAATCATATTTTATGCATGAATCCTTTAAAAGAAAAAAGCATACCCTTAGTTGCATATTCTTGATCATGGGACTAGTGTTCCCCAACACAACACGGGCAATAAAACATAATTGAGCAATAAAAATTTCACGCTCAAAACAAGCACCATTGATACCTTGTATTATGAGGATATAAATCTGCCAAAATGAAGTCGAAAGGATGAATGATTTCTATTATGAAGAAATAGATCCGTCAAGGTGGAGTCAAAAGGATGATTCCGGAGTGCTCCGGAGGGATATCCGTACATGAGATTCAATATATATGGGTACTTGGAGTATTTTGGTAATTTGTAAATGAGGTTTTTTAGGATAGAGAATATATATTGTTGTGATTTTTAGGGTGAAGAGAAAAACGCAGATCTCTTTATAATTAGAAAGAACATAGAGGTGTGAGGAAGAGAGCTATTGTAACTATATTTTTCTTTGCCCGTAAACTAACTCCCATCTCTCGTGGACATAGACTCTCATCTCCCGTAGACATAAACACGTTGTTAAACCACATATCTCCCGTTGACATAGGCACGTAACTCTCTTCTCCCGTAGACATAAACATGTTGCCAAACCACGTATATCTTTACATACATAAACACGTTGCCAAACCATGTATATCTTTACATTGATTATCTCTTTTTTTTGTGATTATTTTTTCTTTTTTGTTTTAGTGGATTGCTTTTCATTTCCACACCACATGCATAAGCATAAGTAAATCATGCATATAAAAAATTTAGAAAAAAAAAACCCTTTTTTTTACTTTAAAAATTATTATATATCCCTACTACTCTCTCTCTACTACCAACTCACGTCCATTCCAAATAGAGGGAGTGAATGTTATGAATTATTAGAGAGAGAGATACGATTTGCGGAGAAATAGGTCCTCAGCAAATACGATTTGCAACTCGTGGCATAAGCTCTACCCAAATTGAATTTTGACGAGTTGCAAATTTAGAGAGAGATAGCGGTGCATTGGAAGAATTTAGCACCAGAAGCACCTCCTACATCATTGTGAATCTCTTTCCATATCAAATCCATGAATGTGGAGAGAATGAAACAGAAAACCAGAAAGTAACACCCTATGTCGACGATCATGAGAGAAAAATTGTCCATGTGAAAACTTTATGGTTTTTGGTATTAATGAACAAGCAAACCACCGCTCTGATACCACATATAAAAATAAACTATAGATTTACATATTTAAAAACTTGAAAAGCATGTAAATCTTTTTTAGATCATTGTTCATTATTATCAAAAAACAAGAATAAAACAACATACATTCCATGATCCAACAATAAAATAAAACAGCTTGTCATTCTGATCTCTGGATGAGGAGATCGACCTTTTCAAACTTGATGGGAAACTTCTTTATATGATTATCGTTAGACCATAAATTGAGGATACTTTCTAACATAGGGTTGCTTTTCTAAAGATGATCTAATAACCTATTTAGTTTTAAAAAAACTAGACTTTTCCTCCATGTGCACATCATATTTTCTAAGAAAAATAGGCATTTTCTCTAAGTGCAGTCATATGCATGCATATAGTACATGTGATAGGGTTTTGGAAGCACAATGAGGTTTAAAGATTGAAAACTCGGCCAACTACTTGGACTCCGCTCCTTGTTGAGCGCAATTTGGGCCATTTAAAAGAAATTTAAAAAATATTAAAAAGTTGAATCAATGATGAATATTATATATGCAGCTGGATGGTTTTTTTACTATGATTCATGAGTTTTTCTTGTCATATGCCGTATTTTTATATTTGTATTTTTTTTTTTTTAGATTTTTCTAAAATTCCAACAACAAACCAATTTTTTTTAACCCATATTTTATATCATCTTTTTAACATTTTTTGACCTTTTAGGTTGCCTTTTAGTTTTGTTTCATTTTTTTAAATTTTATTTTAACCTTAAATGAATTTTTTACTTTTATTTATTTATTTATTTATTTTGTTAGGTCCTTCGGTCCCCCGTACAGTACTCGACCAAGTCTGAGGCTGGAGGCCAGTTAAAAAAGTATTTGATGAAATTAACTTATCAATAAACGTGGTGGATCTGGTCTATCTTGGAAATGGATTTTGGATCCAAAACTTTATGCATGTATTATCTCCATCATCATGATCATGAAACCGAAAACAAAAAAAAAGAGAAATAATTTGAAGATTAAAGTATTCTATATTGTACTTTTTTTACTGTTCATTTCATTTACAGAATCAGTGAAGATAGCAAGAGCCAATTGAGGAAGGGACTCTAAGATATTCAAGTTTAGGAACCCATAACCAGTTTTCTAATCTTTTTATTGGACATGCTTGTTCCAAGTTCCTAGGCTATGATGGTCATTTTGCTCGATTTGAAATGCTCTCACTTATTCAGGGTTAGAAATTGGAACTTGCTTCTTTAAATTGGAAATTCACATTCTTGGTTCTTAACCTAAATATAGATGAGTTATATCATCATTTTGCAATTGGAAATTCACATTCTTGGTTCTTAACCTAAACACAGAGAAGTTATATCATCATTTTGCTGCTTGAATTAAGTCGCCCCGAGAAAAAATGTTGTTTTTCCCACACTTGTTAAAGGCTAGGAAACCGGAACTCGCTTCTTCTTCATATTTTTAAATTGAAAATCTTTGATTCGGCAACAAGCAGGCTAGTGATTTACATCATTCACCCTATGTCATTTAAGTGGGCCAAATTACCAAAATAACCCTGCTTATTTAGTATAATGAATCCGCAATGGGGCAATATGGGCATTGTTAAAAAGCAATTTTGAATCAACTGAGTGAAATGAAACTTCATAAAAGTAACCACTCCATGCCATTGGTTGATTTGATCAACTTAATTTTTTTCTCCGGGTTGTATGACAATTTAAATTATATTCTTCCAATTTTCGCATGTGCTTTGATTATTTTAGTGATATTTTCCTGATTATTTATATTGGAATATTAAGGTCGACCCCGGAACAGCTACATTCTCATTCATGAGAGGCTTACTGACCAATAATAAAACCAATGAAATCGACCCTTCCATTGCTAATTAAGTAGAATGATTGTCCATCACTTTTGTAACAAGGTCAGAGCCTCTCCTCGACCTTAGATGTGAAATCAAACTGTAAGGTCTGTGTTGAAGTTTAAGAATATTTTTCGCGGGACTTTGAATATGGGCATTTCAACAGCCCCAACCCACAGATTTCGTCTAATAGATAATTGTGAACGTAACCTTGCCCTTCTTCATAAAGGATTATGTCAAAATGAAACGGCTTAATGTAAATGGTTTTATATTATGTTTCTTCATGAAGGATTATATGTTGAAATGAAATGGCTATAAAATATGCTATAAATACCAGCAAAAACCTCAATTACCGAGAACTCTTAAATATACACTAGAGTTTAGTCCAATTGATTATCAACTAGTGAGGTAAAGGTCAGCTATACAAATAAGAATACAATAAATGAATACCAACTCAATCAGAAACATACAAGAGAAACTCACCCCATCACTAAGATACACCCAAACCATGTCTACATCTATCGATCCCATGCAGAAGAATCCTGGAAAGAAATGAAAAACTTGAGTCCATCGTCCAATACGACAATGTGTATTTTGAGATATTTTCGGTGTGCATGAGTGTGTGTGTGTGGAGAGAGAGAGAGAGACAGAGAGAGAGAGAGAGAGAGAGAGAGAGAGAATCTACCTCAAATCTGAATCCATCCAGTCCCAATTCAATCTCTTCTGGTATAATGTCACTCTCTTCAAGCTCGGCATCTGTGAGTGTTAGAGCCTTCTGAAGCTTCCGAGGAGAAAATACTTCGACCTCAGCTACGAAAATTGCAGTCACTGGTCGATGATCTGAGAGCATAATCTCATGTCTCTTATATTTCAACTGCCTAATTCCCTTCCCAAATGAAAGTATACGATCGCACCTGCAAACCAGCAAAGCATCACATACTTACACAATACACAGAGAGAGATAGAGCTCCATGCTAGAAGCCTATGTAGACATACAAATTGCACGCTCACACACACACAGACTGGGGCCTACCATGCCGGAGTACGCCTTCCGGCCTTTGGAAATTCGCCTGTATATTTAGGTGAGTTAAATTCATATTTGTAGGTCGGAGGGAAATTTATGAGCCCCTCTGACCATCCATCAAAGGCACGCCCTTTCTTTAGCTCTCTTCTAAGCTGCCACATTAGAAAAGAAATCATTTGATGCCCTTGAATAACGCAGAGACAATTGAAAAAGGTTCTCACAGTTTTAAACATAACCATACTGCCATTACTGTTGCTACTGAGCAAAACAAGGATAATGTTTTTTGAACATGAAGATTTCGTAAATTAGAAATGACCTCCATTTGCTTCAAAGTCTTAACTAGTAATAAAAACAGGCAAAAAGAGCAGAAATCATTTTTTATTTGAGCATGTCTCAAAGAGAGAGAGAGAGAGAGTTTGTAAAGGGTTCCTATGGTAAAACTAAATTATCAAATGCAGAGAAGTTGCCGAACCTGATCCCTCTCGATCAAAGCAGACCAATCCTTCTTAGAGATGAGTTCCCGCGTTTTCTCATACGGCAAGTTGATCCGATAATTAAGATCACCAAACCAGATAACTCTTCTGCATACAACATATTGAATCTATAAATTAGTATCAGTTTCCCAGTGGATTTGAGTAGGAAATTTACTACTTTGATAATGTATGGATGTTTTATACAAGGTAGCCTCTGTATGTGTGAACAGTAGTGCACATGCGAATGTAAGTGTGCTTCTGTAATGTTTATAAAGCATGCATTTATTTCACCAAAGAATCACACTACTTTTAAATCTTTCTTATTACACATTATTTATTACCATTGTTGGACTCGCTTTGCTTCGGCCTCTTTGGCCTGTCTTTGGGTTTTACATCCAAACTGGAGTGAAGTGAATCACTCCCCAGTACATTGCAATCTATCAGTATGAATTTCAAAAAAATGCCCATAATATTTTCAAATTTTGGTAAGAATACCTCTCCAGTATTAAGAAATCTGTAGAATTACCTCCGTGATATTTCAAATTGGAAAATATACCTTATACAATAATATATATCTTTAAATTGCCCCAAAATACATTTTTTTAATTTCTTTTTATTTTTTATTTGTATAAATACAGCTCAAGACTTCCCCCAAGTAAACCAAAGAGCCGAAGCACCTCCCTTTTCCCTTTTCCCTTTTCCCAGCCAAAAGGAAGAGCCCTCCAAAGAGAACTAGATAACATTGTTATTTATTACTATCATCAATCTCATATATTGTCATTATATCTTCCCTATTCTACATTTACATTAGTATATATGTAATGCAATCCCACATTGATCAAGGATTATTAGTTAACCATCTTTAGCTCCAAGTTTAATGTTAAATGATGAAACTAATCTAGATAATTGGGAGGTACTCTACTGGAATCTTATTCTAAACATTTCCACTGCAAGCAGAAATGAACTGGTATATTGGCAGATACATGAAATGTCAGAAATAGGCTTAAATGAAGCTCTAAAATGCAATTTTGAATCAGTAAGAGAGTCAGTTTGTTTCTTTGATTCTTCACAATGAATCACATTTGTTTCTTGATCTTAATTAAACGAGAATATCCTAGCTAATAAGTATGCACCTATCCAATGTTAAAAGTCACTAAAAGAAATCTTGAAATTTAAGCTCATTTTTTTTCTTACATTGAAATGTTTGAATTCATCGAGAAATTAAAACATTGCTTTATCTTGTGATTTTTTTCTCACAGAAACGTAATAATATTCTCTTACTCGTGATCATTGATGGTTTTTGGGAATCCAACACCAGGAACAGGATGAAATTGTGTTCTCCTTATTATTTCTTGCACATCAGCATTTCTTCGAAATTCGTCCCCTTCCTTTTCACCCGAAGTTAGGTGAGAACAAATGAAGCAAAAGGGAGTCTGATTTATGGACATGCTAACAGCAACTGACCCCTGGAGCATAGTTGTACCAACAAGAAAATGGACAACTAATTAGCCTTTCCTCTGGCTGCTGGGTTATATAAATGCATAAACAAGAAGAGAATTAGAATATATATTGATGCCATAAAGAGGAAACTGCAATATAGCAACTGCAAGATTAACAATTATGCATTGATAATGTATAAATGAACAATGGGCCAGTTAGGATGCATGCATAAGCACCGCACAAAGAGGTCTTATGCACACAGGTCCTTTGGTGTCAAGATTCTTGCCACTGACATGAAAATTATTACGTCGATTTTTGTGTGCAAAAAGGCACATAATCTCTGCATAGTGCCATATTTTTAAAATCCATTTTAACATTCATTACACATAAGCCTGCCTTGTGTGGGGGTCTCATCGCCACATCTAAATAGGGCCTATCTAGTCTTTTCTTTCGTTCTTTTTTTTCCTTTTTTTCTTTTCTTTGGGTGGGGTGGGGTGGGGTTGCAGGGGGATAAATAATAGGGGCCTATGCAGTTGCTAAGAGAATTATGCATGTATAGATCGCTTCCTAGATCAACTTCTTTTTCTGAAAAAAGTCATGGAAATCAGATATTAAAACCAAACGGAAATCACTCTATCTTCAAACTTAACCGAAAAGTTATTTTAAAATTACCACCTACTTGTGATGGTTAAATGCAACAGTCTAATAAGGAAAGAAAAGAAATAAGATAGCACAAACAAAGAATACCATTAAAATGTTTGATTTATATCTCGAGAGTGGTGCCTCATACAATAGCAAAAGGAAAATACCTTGTTGCCCATGTACCCCATGACACCAACCCCGACAGTGGAAACTTTCAAGTTGTGAATATGCCTCCGAAGATTTCTTCGCACCCAAATTGTCAAGAAAATGCCAACCATCTGTTTACTCACTATCCTTACAAAAGGTGATCTCTTTTTGGATATAAGGGCTTCCAAGTTAATATCTGAAATCAAATTTATATCTGAGGATCCCTTTGGGTCCCCAAGCAGAGAAGGTTTAAAAGAATTAGATGTTTTGAAAGAACGAACTGATTTGAAAGAACTCGATTTGTCAAGAACATGTTGAGCTAGCAAACCCATTGGTGGTTCTGGCCAAACCAAGCCAATCCTTTCAGTGCCACTTAATTGTTTGGTCAATTTGAGCTTCGGTTGAGAAGGTGGTGGTGCCTCTGATTCTGTGGGGTCATCTGACATACTAAATCCATATAATCTATCCAATCTCCTGATGACCTGAGAAGCTTGTTTCAAATTGGGCTCTTCTGATGTACCTAAACCAGCATTTCCATCCACAAAACTTGAATCTTTTCCAAACCCAAATTCATCTGTCTTAGATATTTCAGGAATATCAGAGATTGGGTGCACTTGATTGTCAGTCGCATCATCACTATCTGACAATATATCATCTTCTATAACAGGGACATCATCTGAAGGCTTGAACCTTGATGGCGAGGAAGGATCACTGTGGCATTTGAACTTTGTTTTAACTGGAAAAATTCTATTTAGTGTCTTACGAATGAGATATTGCCATTTTAGGACAGGCCGATTGTCCTCAGCGCCGAATACATTTCCAGCATTTAATGGAACAACCTCCTGAAGACTGCAATCATAAAATAATCAACTATTATTCAAATGCAAGTTCTTTGATTGAAACAAACATTTTTGGGGACCAAAAGGAGATATTGACTTTGATCTGATATAATATAGATACCAGAGAAAGAAAGAGAATTCTCCTACAATTCAAGAAAGTTTTCACATAATTAGTAAACTACTAAAACAATATGAAATCCCCTGTTACTAATCAATTCAACTCAACTAGAGAAAGCTCAATATCATCCATACTGCACGGCCACAATGCATGATTTCCATAAGCATAAGTTAGCACATGTAGCAATTGCATTATATATCTTGATTATTAATAAATGTTCACCCATGAATGATAAGGAGCTGAATATTAGAGCAGCCTCTGAAATGGCGATTGTTATGTTTCCTCTAATGTCTGCATAAGTTCAGTAACTGTATTGTCTAGAAATGTACAAGCGCCTTTATGCCCTTGACAATTTGAAAACAGTATTCCATGAATTCAATAATAATACAGATCTATCATCTGAAGCGCATGAAGATATCTCAATCCATATGAATATTGATGATGCATATCGAAGACTTCACTAATTATTCTCCAATTGGGGCTTTTGATTAAAAATAATAATCTTAGTTTGGTCAACTCACAAAAAGAGAGATAAGTGAGAAAAGATGGAGGAATAAAATAAACTTCAGCACTCAAAATCGTAAAGCTACAAGAAACTAAAGCATTTGAAGATACATTTCTTTCATGAAGCACTCAGATCTTAAACTTAGATTTACCCAAGCACATATATATCAGCGGGATCCTCCATAAGAAGCCACTCATCAATGTCTAGGTCGTTGGGTGGCAGCCTTCCTCCAACATTCCATGTACCAACACATATCCTAAAGAATTCCAAAACTATTCTGTCAGAAAATATAACTATCATATTTCAAGAAAATATTGCTGGGGAAGATCATACTGATACCAATGCCATGCCTGATTTCCTTAGTGTCTATGTATTGCACCCTCAAAGTCTCGGATTTCCGTCTTCTCAATATGTACGTTGGATTCTCCGGGGTGGTAGCTGCATATTAAGTTCACCAATTAAAAATGGTACATAAAAGAAGAGCTATGAGACAAACATAAAAGATAAATCCATGACCAAGTGATTCCTCTATGGCCCTTGTAACTCCTCGAGTAAAATACAGGGGAAACCCATCATAGTAAACGATAAAATCACAATATGAAACTTTAGTACCCACCAACCACCTACTTGGAAGCATCAATTTCCAAAACGCATCACTAATCCAAGGTGGACGGTTAGGTAACTCAGATTTAAAATAATCGATGATATTAAGGAGTGAGTTGGAAAACTCAACCAGATGAGGGAAAAGGAAGAGGTTCTTGTTAAAACCAAAAAATTAAAAGATTTGAGATATTCATTTATTATCAAATGAATAAACTACTGTCCATGATTGAGTTCATTCCTAGCATGGAGTAGCTGGGTTCAATTACAAATCTGCACTTCCAGTTCCATGTGCATGTGTCATAAATAAAAAAAATAGAATGTGCAGAGGAAGTAAAGTAAAAGAAAAAAAAATAGTAACTTCTGCAAATAAGTTTAGTTAGCTCAGGGATTAGTATCAGCAACCTAGAATTTGGCACTGTTTTCCTATTAAGCTTTATGAGGCAATTTCTCAGTTTTTATCAAATATATTTATTCAGATTTTGCTTAGCCAAATCACTCGAGGAAAATCAGAACATTTCCCAAGGATCTCCACAAGAATAACAACTAGTAATACTTTGCTATTACACCACAATGAAAATTTTAAATACAAGTATTATTAACAGGAACTCTGTATACTTTATCCTGTAAGAACTCCGGATATCATGTTCACAAAAGCATAGAACAAGGACTCATGATCATCAATCTATATATAAAATCAAAACTAAAAATAAAACTTGAAAGAAAACTAAAAGGAAACCAATGTTAAATAAAAACAGGTTAAGGTACAGAATGTTTTCTTACCAAAGGACTGACACCGAAATGCACTACCATTCTTATTCCCATCAAACCCTTCTCTTTTCCAACCTGCATAAAAGCACCATTTTACTTGTCATGCACATGCCCAAAAACTAAAATCCTTGACTGCAAACTAACAACTAGGCATCCGATAGATCAGACTTTTAAACTCGAACTTTATCCTATAATTGTATTGTTATTCCTTGTTTTTCATTTGGTAAAGGACCCATTTAAAGGAATTCAGTGCGGTTGAATGAGATACAAGAGTTACCTTCTTCTTCTTCTTCTTCAAAATCGCTTTCGCCATCACCTTCATCACAACTGTAATCACCTTCTTGGGTCCTAATGTTGAGCCATTTCCTTAGAACATAGGCGGGCCTGGAAAGCTGTAGGCATGTGCAACCGAAACAACAGATTTCAACCCAACTCCTCGGCTGCAATTTCCCGATAATACAATCGCCCAATGCTCCATTAAAGGTCCCTTAAAACTAAAACTAGGAAATGTGCATAAACACAAAGCGGGCGCACAACCCCACTAAGAGAGAGAGAGAGCACCCATATGAATTCACACAAAAAACAGAATGGGAGCGAGCACCCCAAATCAATTTAGACAGAGAGAAACCCAAAACAGTTTTCTCACACACCCAACCCCCAAGAGAACCAACACATATGCGCATAAAGAGAGAGAGAGAGAGAAACGAAGCACACCCAATCACAAAGAACCAGCACACAAATGTACAAAACCCGCAAACTCAATCACCCAAAACCTCAAAACAGAGACCGAAAAAATCACACAGAAGTATAGAACAAACAAAAACACAGCCTTTGCAATGAAATTTTCATGGTCTAAAAGCTCAATTCCTCACCTCTCCACGTTTCTTCGAACACTGCTTCATCTCATTAGACGGAAACTGACCAAAACCAACACTAAAGAAGCAATCTTTCTTCTTTAATGGAGATAAATTCACACTGAATCAAAACCAACAAAGCATAAAAGAATTAAGCAGTCAAAAAATGGAAGGTAAGCTTTTCTTTCAGCTTTTCTGTTTCTTCCTGTAAGTTAATTACCCTCAATTAAATTCCTTTGGATCAATGCGTGAAAAACGCTGTTTACTATAATTTTATATTATTAACATTGACTGTAGTGTGAATTAAGACGACGAACTTCACGTGGTGGGCTATAGGGAAGGTAAATACTGGGTAAATAAATAATAAGATCATTGAACATTGACTTTGTTAAATAAATAATAAAAATGATCACCAGCATGTTGGGTTATTAAAGTAGGACTTGATCCATCTATCAAATAAATAAAAATATTAACCCAATTTATATTTCTTGAATACATTTTGCTCCAAATAAAAATTGGGTTTGCCTTTTTCATCCACTCCTGAGCCATGAGTATGGGTTCCTAGATTTCTTTTCTTTTCTTTTGGGTTAGATCGGTTGGTTTGCATCTTAAAATGATGATTTAGTTTGATAAAAATTGCTAACAAAGTCCTTTTTAATCGACTAAAAATTTATGGGTAATTTGTTATGGATGAGGTTTTGGTAAGGCCGTGGTTCTACCAATTATGATAGGACTGCACCTCAAACGCCCACGGCAAAAAGATTACTAGAAAACATTTTCATGGCTTGCAATATATACTCGTTCATTAGAATTTGAAGCAGCAAAAATAGTATAGATCCAGATTTGTGAAAACTTAAAATGGATGATCCAAAAAAAGTATTTCAAGATAAATCATTTTTGAATTTTAAATATTATGAAGATATATCATTTTTGGGTTTTAAAATCTATTTTTTGAAATATATGATAGTTGAGGTTAAGATAAGTACTCCGCAGGGGTTTTTTTGCAATGAAACTGCATTTTTAGATATGAGAAGCAGCTTTGTAAATCCACAAAATACTTTTCTATTTATTATTGGAAAATGGTTTGATGGGCTGCACCCCTATCAAAATAGGTAAAGCCTCCCCTTATAACTCTTCAAAAATTGTATTTCAAACATTGGAAAACCTTTACAATAATAATCTAGTCTTGAAAAACATTAGGGTTGTAAAAAAAATTAGGATTTCAAGCTCTAAAAATACGTATATTATAACAAATTATCTAGGTTGTCCATTTTGCCTAAAAATTAAGCGTTCATAGATTCACAAGATCTATACTATTTTTTTAGTTTCAAATTTTATGTTGAAATTAATTTTAAAACCATCATGGAGATTTCCGTTGCCAAAAATGCTTTTAAGACGAAGATTTGAGGTGAGGCTTTATTTTGTTTGATATAGCCTAGGCCTTATAGAAACTTCATATTTTTCAAAAAATCTAAAAGATTATTAGCTTCGCACAAAAGTACATTAGCGCATCTCTAAATAGACAACGAAAATCGAAAGTAAGATTCAATTTTGAAAGATTCAAAATTTCTTGTAATATTGAACCATGTTTCTCAAAATTTAAACTACTTTTTGGAAACCCTAGAATAACTGTAATGTACCATCTATACGCCACATTCATTTATTGTGCACACCTAAAACAAGAAAGCCATTTGTGGAGCATATAGACCGTTTATTCCCGTTAAAAGAAAAAGATGAAAAGAGAAAAATAGTCAAATTCCTAAATTCTTAGACTTGACCATATGAAAATTGGACAATCTCTATCCAATCCTAAGAAGCGAGTGCAAATTTATATTTAAAGTTAATGGCATCCCACAATTTGGTATTTTGAACATACTCCTAGAGGGTTTTACTTGACGGAGTAAACGTACAGTTTATCATGCCCTTGTGGGAGCACATAAGCTTTAGGCATTTAACACTTCATTCACATGCCTTCAAAATTGCATCGTCATCTTCTAAGCCTTATCTCAAGTATTTGGGATCGGTTACATAAATCTTGTTCTGCCGTTCTGCTCATAGATTCAAGATTCATGACAAGATTTGGTAAAAGTTTACGTATATTCTTAATGAAGTAACAAAATTCAAGTAATTTTAGTTAGAGTGATTGAAATTGGGGGCATATCGTATTTGACTAAAGGGTGCGGTTTGTATAGAGCCGAGTTTCTAAATAATCAAATCAGAGCCCACCTTCAAATAGTATCGAGAAATATAGTTTCAACACCAGAAATCTTTGACAGCCTTAAAATATATTTTTATCTTTAATTATAAATTTTAAGCTTAAAAAATAGTGTAGATCCAACAAATCTATGAAAACTTGAATAACTTAAAAATTGACCGTCCAAAAATGCGTTACAAGACACTATTTCCAAAACTTGGAATTCATTTTTTTCTCAAATCTATGCACCTTGATGTCGAGATGATCAATTTGAAGATATTCGGACATCAAAACAACCCCTTCTAATGAAATTTTAGAGCTAGGCTCTAATTGGATTGTTTAGAGCCTAGGCTCTATATAAACTTTTCCATTGTCTAAATCAATAAATACATATCTAGTAGAAATTATTTGACTAAATCAATAAATACATATCTAGTAGAAATTATTTGACTAAATCAATAAATACATATCTAGTAGAAATATGTTATGATGATAATTAGGTAGGAATCCACAAACCTAAAGGCCATACGCTGTACTATAGGCTTACAATAATATGAATTTTTCTTCATAAGGTCAATTGATGTCCATATTTCATTATTACAAATAGACTTTGACTTTCAACATATTCTAGAAGTAAACTTCCTTTTGAATCAACTGAAATTGTGACATAATATTCTACAAGAAGAGCTTCATTGTTTTCCATTTTCTAAAGGAGTGGCCCTTAAGCCTTGGTGGCAAAGGGTGGCAGGATGTCATATCATTAGGGCTAGCAATAGGATGAGCCTTGGGCCGGCTGCCAGCCTAGACTCTAATTGAAATAGGGCAGGCCTAGGCCCAGCCAGGCCCTCGCATGGGCATCCAAGCCCAATCATAGCCCTATTAAGGCCAGGCTATTCTAAATGGAAAAATTGCAAAAACGAAAGAGAAATATATAGAACAAAAGGGCAAGGCCAATCTGGGTAGAACCGGGCTATCCTTGACCCAGCCCTTGGCCCACATTTTGTGGCCAAAGCCCTAATCGTTTAAGCCCAAGATGGTCTTTTAGGGCCAGACCGAGCCAGCTCATTTATGTCTATTATTTTTACCTATATCTCAAAGGAAAAAGTTTATATAAGATTGCTATCTTAAAATGTGAAATCACGTATGCACCTCAAAACTCCTTCAAAAAAAATTGTTTTAATGTTGATAAACTCTCTAAATAACACTCTCAACATCGAGATGTCCATATTTCATTATTACAAATAGACTTTGACTTTCAACATATTCTAAAAGTAAACTTCGTTTTGAATCAACTGAAATTATGATATAATATTCTATAAGAAGACCTTCATTGTTTTCCATTTTCTAAAGGAGTGGCCCTTAAGCCTTGGTGGCAAAGGGTGGCAGGATGTCATATCATTAGGGCGAGCAATAGGATGAGCCTTGGGCGGGCTGCCAGCCTAGACTCTAATTGCATTAGGGTAGGCCTAGGCCCGGCCCGGCCCTGACATGGGCATAGAAGCCCAAGCCCAACCATAGCCCTATTAAGGCCAGGCTATCCTAAATGGAAAAATTGCAAAAACAAAAGAGAAACATATAGAACAAAAGGGCAAGGCCAATCTGGGTACAACCGGGCTATCCTTGACCCGGCCTTTGGCCCACATTTTGTGGCCAAAGCCCTAATTGTTTAAACCCAAGACGGTCTTTTAGGGCCAAACGGAGTCAGCCCATTTATGTCTATTATTTTTACCTATATCTCAAAGGAAAAAGTTTATATAAGGTTGCTATCTTAAAATGTGGAATCACATATGCATCTCAAAACTCCTTCGGAAAAGGTTGTTTCAATGTTGAAAAACTCTCTAATTGACCATCTCAACATCGAGATGTATGAATATGAAAAAAAAAAAAGATTTTGAGCCCAGAAATAGTGCAACTTACAATACCTTATCTAAACCGTCCATTTTCAAGATTTTCAAAATATTTATAAATCTACTTCATTTTAACCATTTTTAGATTTTAAAATTTTATAATTAGATATAAAAATAGGTTTTCAGATAATCCTAAGATTTTTTTGCACCAAAATCGCATGATATGATAAAATTTGGAGGTGTGCCTTAATTGGATTATTTAAGGTCGCAACCTTATAGAAACTGCACCCTATCTCAAATTAATAGTACAAAATAGTTATTTCTCTAGTGTCAACCATAAAATTTGTCGTATATATCAAGAAAATTTTTATATAAGGTTGCAACCTTAAAATGTAGAATTAAGGATGCACCTCAAAAAATCATGGGGAAAGGTTGTTTAATGTGCAAAAACCATCAAATTGATCATCTTAACATCAAGATGTATTAGTATGAAAAAAATAAATAAAATTGAGTCCCAAAAATAGTACATCCTGCAAAACATTTTCTAGACCGTTCATTTTCAAAAAATTTATATGTTTATAGATCAACTTAATTTTAACCATTTTCAGAGTTTAAAATTTATAATTAGATAAGAAAATAGATTTTCAGATAATTCTAAGAATATTTTACACCAAAATTATATATTATGATAAAAATTAGAAGCGCACCTTAATTGGATTGTTTAAAGTTGCAACCTCATAAAAACCACACCCATATATGAATGAATCATTTGTGATGTAATTTCTCCTGATCAAGCCTCATTTCATCTAGTCCCTCGCAAAATTTAGAATAGGAATATCTTTTACATTTCAAAATTTGGGGATTCAATCTCTAGAACCTGGCAACCAACCTCAAAGATGAAGAAAAAATAATAACAAGGCTCACTCTATCCCAAGATGGCACTAGAGCTATCTAATTGTTTGAGGGAATGATCAGATGCTCAAGAACCCAAATGGATCTCCAAATTTCAAATAAAAAAAAAAAGTCCCAATTAAGTGTTTTGTCTAAGGGAGTAAATGTATAGAACCCTAATTCTTCGTA